AGTAACCATAACATAGGTGTCATTTACAGTTCGGCTAACAACAAAATTCTTCACACGGATTAATAAAGAAGGTGGTGTAGTTCTGAAACAACATTTACAAGATATACATTAACAGTGAGAGGCTCACACACGGTTATTAAGTAGGTGACATCCATATCTCTTAGAAATTCTACTTGTTTTCTTTTATGACACATGAGATTCAAGTTTTTGGGGGTAAATTTCAATTTCTATCATTAAGTATAAGTGAAGATTTGTGGTAACCATATGTTGATATAGCGATAATTTTGTATTTACACCATCCCCGGCTTTCTAGTAAGACTGTAGATCTTTCAAGTTGATTATAGGAAGATGCTGGCTTTGTTTCCTAATTAATCCTCAAAGGATATGGAACTGTTTCTCAATAATGGAAAACTATCAATTGGATACGAAACTATACTCCAGGGTATAAAGTTATACAAAACTATCGTCACCAGATACCATCTTGTTAAACAACATTATTCAACCGTAGGATTAAATTGCGTTTCTGCGGCCGTCAGTTTTCATTGTAAATACATTTTTATAGATCTTTTTTGTTCATATAAAATTTTAATATAACTTAAATCAGCTCTTAAATTGATTATCTACAGATAGTGAAGCTCTTGCTAGTGACTTCAAATATCATATTCCTTGGAATGCGGACAGATCTATTAAGTTTGAAGTACAAGAATACCCAAATGAAAAATCAATACCAAGATGTCGAATAAATTCTAATGCAATGCCAAAATTTAACAATTCAAATTATGTAACAGATATATTAAAATCTACTAAACTTGAAAAATCAATTCAATACAAAACATTTGCAGTTAGAATGGTGTAGAGGTTATATTTTATAGAAGATGACAATAACAATAATCAAATAACCAAAAGTACTGTCGGAAGAGAACTCTTGAGAGGATACCCCCTCACCCCAAAAAAAAAAAAAAAAAAAATCAAGAATGTCGCAAATGGTCACAATGATAGAAATTATTTAGTGTTAAAAAATTAAAGGCATCTAATTCATTCAGACCTACAACACTGATCCTGTCGTGATCTTGCTGGTCTTATCTCTTTCTGTCCTTTTCTTTTTATCATGTTCAACCTTAGTGACTCAACAACTTAAACCATCGACTACTTCTCAAAAAGGAGACTTAACAAAACTAAATATGTAAAATATGAAAGTCAAAGCTTTATTTGATATAAATGACTTATTTAAAGGATGACCACGATTTAAATGGAAAAGGTCCTCTGCTTCTGCCAATTTATGTTCTGTGTTTTGCATCAGCTTGATTTGGATACCAATTATCTTCTTGATCATTTTTAGTAGGTGTTCTTTATTCAAACTTTAGTATTAATACTCTTCCAAGTATAAGTGAATTATGGTACTCTTTCATAAGTGATTTCCCCCTTATACTTAAAAGTACATTGATTCTAAAATGTGATCTGGCATATCAGCTATGTCAGATCTCTTTTTTTCTAATCAGCTACCTCAATTTAAGTTACATAACTTTATCTACTAATTATTTTTTCTCTTCCGCTTTTCGTAGATTTGAACAAACATTCAGAACAATTTAACCACATGAATTATCCAGTATTCCGTCTAGCGATGTTCTCCAAGAATGATATAGATTTTCTCGTACTACAGAGTAATTTAAATCATAGAATAAAATCAATAAAATATACAGTTGAAACAGACATATTATGTTACTGTCAGCTGTAGCAGAAATCATAACACACTGTCATGTTAACGCTAATATGTTGGCGAATTTATCATTCTTTAAATATACATACTATAGTTTTTAAATATTCTTTACCTATTATTGTTTCTTGCTTTTATATACTTTAAATTCAAACATAGATATTTTGTTAAGAACATTGTTTTGTTTTCTCATAAGGCATAAATTCAGTCAAAAGAGAAATAGTTACACAATTATGATTCATTGATGTTGGATTATACGTTCAAAGCAACTCTGAAATTAATTCGCAAATATTGTAGTATTTAAGATATTCTTCTACATAAGGAAATGCATGTACCAAGTCAGGAATATGACAAGTGTTTTCCATTCGTTTGATGTGTTTGAGCTTTTTATTTTGCCATTTAATAAGGACTTTCCGTTCTAAATTTTCCTTGGAGTTCGGTATTGTTGTTATTTTACTTTTTAAAAAGGTAAACATGTTAAATGTAAAGTAAAAGTTAATATTGCCAGAATTTTTTTGAAACTAGCCGTTGATGGCAAAAACAGGAAAAAGTTTCGTAATGAAACCAGAAACAAATTATACCATAGACCATAATAACATTAACGGTACAAATTGTATTGCACCAGATGCGAATTTCGACGATTACAGGTCTATAAACCTAATACAAACAAACGTTGAAAAGCTTATAAACCAAACAAATGACCAAAAAGCCAAACAAAACTTATATTTACATTTTTACATATATTTTCGGCTGCAATCGGGCCTTCGATATTTGGAATATCATATGTGTTGTGTTTCCATATTTATCATGTTAACCCAAATAAGACCACAGCTTAGCTTAACAATTACACCAGAAAAGATTTTTTGATAAATTTAGAACAAACATCATGGGGCAATAAAAACATGTCGAAGAAAAACACATAAATGAAAAAACACAAAAAAATGAGCAAACACATTCCCATAGGAATTTTCTGTTGAAAACTACTTTAAGAAATATAAGAAATATACTATAATAAAAAAAGGTTTGTGTTTGAATCATTCTTTTTTTAAATATAATTTGTCCCTTCCTAAAACATAACAATTACTGTATTTGTATTTGTATATTAATTTGCTACTATTTTGTACGAAGAGAGTTGGACTAATCTTCGACCTACCTTTAAGTTGAGAATGAAGAATATTGGAAAAATGTCCATCATGAGACGGACTGAGTTTGCATGTAATCACATCCAATTTAAAAGTTTTGTTTCCATATATTGATTCAATTGAATCAGTATGCGCGTGTTTGCATCATTGCAGGTTTTCGATATACTTTTCCTGTTGAGGAAATTTCTTTGTTATTAAACATCTGATAATTTAAAGTTGTTGTGCATTCAATAGTTTTTAATTTGCCTTGAATTTACGAGGATACTTGAAATACAAGATTTTTTATATAACTCTTCCTGGCAAAATTGGTCATTTATTTAATTATAACCCAAGTCCAATAGTCGGCCGAGTGTTCGTTTGGCGAGGCGCATCATAGATGCATGCATAGCCTGTCGAAAAACCCGGTCTTGTTCCGTTTTGTCGTTCATGCTTGTCCCTCGGGTTTTTTCTCTGGTATATTATAAAAAATGGATCTGCGAGTTTTGAACATTGGTACCCTACTGTTACCTCTCAATCGTCATATAATAGGGGAAGAGATCTAAGTTGAAAGCACTGGCTAAGATAGAGACAAAAAAGTTCCGGGTCTGTTATTTTAAGTGATCTGTAATTTTAATGTGCAAGTGATGATTATTTGATATTTTCAATTGAAGAGAAGAAAGAATTTTGAATTCGATCATTGTTCCGGAAAGAAGTTATTGGTGTGGCTCATAAGTTTCTTATTGTTGGTAACTTAGATCTAAAAATATCAAAACAAAATTTTTTGAGCATTTTGATAAACAAAAAATCAGGTAGCACGTTGCTTTTATTTAACGAGCTGTCACTAATTCAAAATAATTATCAACTAGATCAACTAGATAAGAAATTTCCTGTTGCACTACTCCAGCTTATTTAAGCTCTTGGTTGGCTTTTTTTTAAGAAGGTATCTTGATTGTATAGGGCAACTTCCTAAAGTCAGGAAATCGTTACCTGGTTAACATGTGCCTCAGCTAGTTTTCATGTAACCAACCCACAAAAACATTAGGGCTAAACCAGAATGCAAAGAATGTGTGTGTAAGAAAAACATAATAATTTCTGAATTGGCCTTATACGGAAATCTCTATATGATGATATTATGTAAATCGACTGCAAACAAAATATCTGAACATTGATGAATTTTGTACATTGAAAATGTCTAAAAAATTATAATTTTATTTTAAAAAATCTGACTTTTCAATATTTCAGTATTTTTAAGTCCAGTTCAGATGATAAAGACATTATTTAGTCAAAAATGCATTTACTAGCAAAAGGATCGTGGTCGGGCAACTCTACAATCGACAGTGATATTAAAGAAGTAGTGACTATTATTTCATAGGCCGGTGTATGAGACATTATTTTCTACACAATTAAATGAGAGTGGAAAAAAAACTCGCCTAATACAATGAAGTTTACTTTTATTATGCAAGCATACCGATAAGAGAAAATTATTTTTTGGTTATTAAAACAACACATTGAAATTTCAAACACATCTAAATTTATCGGATCCGTTAAACACCTAAATAAAAAATATATGTACCCAACAGTTACAGTAAAAACACATGTAGCATAGACCTTATTGCTATTTATTCCAATCCGGATAAGTTCTGAAATTAAAATAACTTTTTCATGACGTCACAAAGCAGTTGAAGCTAACTAGGACGTATATAGTGCACAAAACTTTCCAAAGAGACATCGTAAACACTTCAAAAAAACATTCTTATGACTTTAATTGGTCTTTACAAAACTTGGTTTATTAACTATAAAAATTTCAAAATGTTTGTTTTCTAAACTTTTCCTCCCTCAGCTCACTACTGATGACCTTTGTTTTTGGAACACTTGACCCCAGCAGGAAGTTGTCTAAGAAACTGTTTTATCCGAATTGGACTGAATAGCGGTAAAAAAGACCCATTGGTGGCCTTCAGCTGTTGTCTGCTCTATGGTCGGGTTGTTGTCTCTTTGACACATTCCCCATTTCCATTCTCAATTTTATTTGTTCTTAAGAAGATTCGGTTTTTTTTGTGCGCTTGGTCAAATAATATATTCATGCCATACATACAATTTAATGATATATTAATACGTATTTTCATACGTGAAATAAAAGAATAAAGGAGTGTTAGAAAAATACTTACCAGTCTTCTGTTCTGATTCTATTATGATACAAGGATAAAGAACTCCACATGGTTTAGTGTCAATAGTGACGTCAGAATAGTTTGAATCTGTCATCTGACCGTAATCTAGGTCCAGTGTCGCCGGTACTTCAAAATACTGAAATATCAATGACGACAATAGGTTCCCCCAAATATGTGTTGTCTGAAAACAAGCTAAAAATATGCCATGAAATCTAAACACTTGTTTATCTAAACCGTTACGCGTAATTTTCGAGGAATCAAAAGCTAATTTTAGAACATAAGAAACCTCAGCCGTCCATAGTATTCCTTGTCCGCAACCACAGAATACTGCAGAGGGAATCAGTGTGTAAAACTTTGGATAGATATTAGCACCGGTCCAAATCAGAAAACTACACATACCACAAACAATGGCCCATTTAGCAGATACTTTGTTGATCATGCTAGGAGCCCACAAACAGGTCAAGAACATGGTCCCGTGTAAACATGCCATTGATATAATGCCTAGGTGATTCTTTGTATTAATGGAAGACTGTAAGTTTTGGATTGCTCTGAATGCTGAAAATAGCATTATAAAACTAATACATAAAAACACTAAATTCTTTCTAAATGTAAACACCACTACAGATGGCACATTGCTACTTAGCTCAGACACGGGTGTTTCAGTTTCTCGTTGTAATTCGTTAACATTGTTACCATGCATGTTCATGGGTGTACCGGAAGTAATAATTTCATTCGCTTTTTCGTCGTTCTTTGGTGCTTCTGAAACGCATACCGAAAGTGGTTCGCATTTCGATGTTCTCTCAGCAATAACTGTTTTAAGTTCACTGATATGCTCTTTTGAATGTCTGGGTACAATATCAACATTTACTTTTGGAATGTTATTTCCTATGATAGGTTCCCTAACTTGTTGTAGTGTTACCGAATTTTCATCACTTTTTAGTGCATTTAAGTAACTTTCTTTTCGATTTCTTCTGTTTGTTACTAATCCTTCAATAAAATCCGACTGCTCCTCTGGGTCACTTGTACTTTTTCGAACAGCATATCTGTAACTTTCTGTTCTTTGTCGGCCATATTGACCTAAGTATGCTAGTTCAGTCTGTGTTGCATATGTATAACTAGGCCGCCTTGGCCTAAATAATCCAAACCCTTTGCCAAGCCCACTAATATCAAATGGCGATAAAGTCGACATTTTACGTTATTGAATCCTCAAAACTATTTCTACCGACATTTAATTTGACACGCAATTACAAATCACAGTAAAGGCAATTGCATTTTATAAATATCATGTAGACCGAACATACATATGAGTAGCAAATGATGTTTTTACTCAGCAATTACTTCTAATTTTAAGAATGAATCATTCTGCAGACGAATACAACAACAATTCCTCCATTACTCCCAATAGAGTCATCACCATGTGAAATTTCAAATGACAGGCGATGGTGATATCGACATTGAAAAGGATTACCATAGAAGAGACAATCATACTATGTATAACATCAGCAAATGATTTTAAATATGGTCTGTTATAATGTTGTTAGAATGGTTGATGTTAATCGTTCAACAGAAATATCAATAACCTCACTCTACAAGATGTCAATACTTTACTGTAGCTACAGACAGTATTCCAGATATGGTCGTTTTTTATTTCATTATCTATTTGATGCCGTAAACACACTCATTAAATAATCCTTCTATATTTTATATTGTCTTCAGGAGCTTTAACTTCTCGATTAAAAATAGTTTTCAACAGATAAACATACAAACTTCAACAGAAAACACATTAAATTAAGTTGTATAGCATTCCTTAATACATGCAATGAACACAAAACATAACTATTTTTAAAACGCGCTAAAGAATGTCTATTACACAACTCTTCTCAAAGTGTTCTTAAAAACATGTCCGTTTCACAACTGTTCTTAAAACATGTCCGTTACACAACTGTTCTTAAAACATGTCCGTTACACAACTGTTTACATGTGTATACATGAAATCCTAAAAACGGATAGATAAATGGCATTTTTATTCAGTCTTTACAATAAATGAATGTCTGATTGACACAAAAAGTCAGCCTCATAGTCTGAGTTGTTATTCACTTATCATGCCGTAGGCCTTACTTCATTTAAAAGTCTTTTTTTTCTTTCCTCCAGGTTACTGATTCATTACGTAAGAAATGTCACTTCGCAAACTTCATATTTCATTGAAACTGAGACAATATTTAAAATAAACTATTGCAGGGGAAAATCTCAAACAATCGATAAGACATTTTATATCCACTGTGGAATACAATATTAAGTCTAGCAGGGCTAATATACATATCTTAACACATGTTATCCATCCAATAACTCAAATAATTGGTAATTCATTTAGCTAAATGACGTTTCTGTGTATATAATATGAGGTGACCATTTTTAACGTAATGCCTTTTTATATTTTTCTAATCGTACAAGACTTTTGTGCCAATTTTACTTCTAATTCAATCTACTACACAGACTTATCTATCATGATTAAATGTTCAAATCAATGGGTCTCTTCCTAATTATCAGAGGGAAACCAAACAAAACGCAAAAAAATCAAAACGCCTTAAAAGGTAAAAACAAACGCGTAATGAAAACTTTTTCATGGAATTAATTTTCAACAATTTCCTCAATTTGACTTTATTCGACTAAAGTTCTTAGCACCTAGTTACAAAGATTTGGTTTTGAAGTTTAACTGTATCTATATACAACATATTGGATACACCATCTTCTTTAATGGTGATTTTGTTTTGTAAATCAGAATTTAATCCATTTAGATGTATTTTTCCTTTGAATAAATTGATTTATAAACTAAACGATAATCAATTTAGTATTGTAGTTTGTATATTAAACAGTATAATAACTAAACACTTATGGTCCTACATCCTCTCAATAACTAAACACTTATGGTCCTACATCCTCTCAATAACTAAACACTTATGTATGGAACGCCATGACTGTCTTCTGATGTTGATTGTTTAATATGTTCGGTGCTTTATGCATTATGTTCAGTAGTATTTATATTAGGTTCAGTAGTTTTCATATTATGTTCAGTAGTTTTGACATTATGTTCAGTAGTTTTGACATTATGTTCAGTAGTTTTGACATTATGTTCGGTGCTTTGGTTATTATGTTCAGTAGCTTTATTATTATATGCAGTGGTATTTAAATTATGTTCGGTACTTCTGACGTTATATTCAGTGCATTTTTCATTATGTTCCGTACCATCGAAATTATGTTTAGTAGATTCAATATTATTTGCAGTACATTATGTATTACCTTCAGTGGTGCCCGTTTCTTTATATTCGGTAGATTATTCATTATGTTCAGTAAAAGCATCAGTATTATACTCGGTTCAATGAACTATATGTTCAGTAGTTGTATCATTATGATGATGCAGTGAAAGTCGGGAAATCAATAACGGAAATTTTCAGAAAAAAACGAACGCGGATATTTTCGACGGACGTTTTCTTCATGGACACTTTTACGGGATCAGGAATGAAAATGGAAAAAATGGAAGCAGTATTAAATTGGTTTGGTTTACGTTGACACGTTGGCAATTTTCACAAGGAAAAAAATACCCCTGACTTAATTTGTAAGATGTCATGATTGATTGATTGTTTATTGTTTTCTGAACGTACAGTGGCAAATATTTCACGCATATTTATGACGGAGAGAAGAATTTTCAAACAAGAAATAAGAAGTTGCATGCGTTATCGTTGATACACCATGACCTTAGAGAGACGACAAAAAGACAAACAGCAAAAAATAAAATATAAAAACATATTCTATAGCTTTTGTATTCCTAGTAGGTAACCCTTTTTGTTGGTTGGTTGTAACATATTAACCTCATGCACCGACTTTTAAGAGACCACGAAAAATCTCCTTGCAGATACTCCTGTAGTATTCTGCATCCTACCCCGCGCTTAAATATCAGATATTTATTTGAAATAACCCAAGATAAATGAGGTTGTGGATGAGGTTCGCCACGGGCGTTTCTAGGATATTTGAAAGATGGGGCGTAGAATCAAATCTTTTGCCGATGGGAGCGAGGCGAAAAAATTTTTTGACCTTTTTTTTGCTAAGAAACATAAAATAATTGTGAAATGCACTGATGTAACAATATAAGCAGATTACGATAGTTTTTTTATTGGAAAAGGGGGGCGTACGCCCATTACGCCCTCACTTGGACCCGCCCCTGTTCGCAGAATAGAGAAAGTTGCTTCATAAATATGACCATATCAATGATAATTCATGGTAACACGGATTAGCCTCGAACCTGTATCTGGATATTGTCAATCTATTCCTCTTCATTCTGGCTATCTTTGGTGGATCTAGAGACTAAATCCAGAAATATGTTTTTAAACGCTCTGTTCAAGAACAGATAATAAGTTATTGGTTTGGGAAGTTACTAGTCTCTTATTAAACAAAACGGGTCATGTTTTATGCATTACTTTAAAATAATAAGAACCATAACTGTACAGAAATGGTGAAAATTTGCACATAATTAAAGTTTTGCACTTTGTATTTTGATATTCATTACCTGTCTAATAGACAGTCTATGGTAATCATATTTACACTTAGACCTAGTTAGTTTTTGTGTATACAGCTTGAATTTGGAAGATTAAAAATCTTAATAAATGATTTTAAAATGACAATCATACTGATACTCAATGTTCATTTTTTGTAGCACTTTGTACAATATTTCATTCTATACCCTTGCATACCAGCATAAATTTCAATGTAGCTCTTTGAATGTATGAAATTTATGACTAGTTGTTTTCTGGTTTTTCTGCTATTGCAGAGCTTTTTGCTGTCATTTTTGTCTGAACTCTTATCACGAACTGTTTTATCTTTGTTGTAATAATTTCTGACACAATGCAGGAGAAGAATGTAAGATTATCTTTGTCTGCAATAGTGGACGAAATAGTACGTCAAGATTTGTTTTCTCGTGCAAGATCGTGATTTTCGAGGAAAATATCGAATGTACATAATTTGCATGGTAACATCAATTAACCAGTTCTGATTACGACCAGTTCAACATTTCATTCCATATCAATAATAAATTCGGTATGCAGAAAAAGTTTAGTTATTCTGTTAATCATTTAATTCTGTAATCACTTTTTTTTTTACCTTTTTCCAAAGTTTTAAACATTTTTTTAAAGCACCCCTTTATTCTCTATTCTTTATTTTTTGCCCACCTTCTCTTTTTTGGTGGGTAGAGGCATTATTCTCTATTCTGTAAACCTCATCCACAACCTCATATATCTTGGGTAATTTCAAATAAATATCTGATATTTAAGCGCCTATTAGCGGGGTAGGATGCAGAATACAATAAGAATATCCAGAAGGAGATTTTTCGTGGTCTCTTAAAAGTCGGTAAGTCGGTGCATGAGATTAGTATGCTACAACCAACCAATAAAAAGGGTTACCTACTAGGAATACAAAAGCTATAGAATATGTTTTTATATATTTTTTGCTGTTTGTCTTTTTGTCGTCTCTCTATAGTCATAGTGTATCAACGACAATGCATGCAACTTCTTATTTTTTGTTTAAAAATTCTTCTCTCCGTCATAAATATGCGTGAAATATTTGCCACTATACGTTCAGAAAACAACAATCAATCAATCATGACATCTTACAAATTAAGTCAGGAGTAATTTTTTCCTTGTGAAAATTGCCAACGTGGGAACGTAAAACAATCCAATTTAATACTGCTTCCATTTCTTCCATTTTCATTCCATCCCGTAAAAGTGTCCATGAAGAAAATGTCCGTCAAAAATGTCCGCGTTCGTTTTTTTTCCCGATGATTTCCGTTATCGATTTCCCAATTTTTACTGCATCATCATAATGATACAACTACTGAACATATAGTCCATTTAACCGAGTATAATACTGATGCTTTTACTGAACATAATGAATAATCCACCGAATAAAAAGAAACCGGGACCACTGAATGTAATACATAATGTACTGCAAATAATATTGAATCTACTGAACATAATGTCGAAAGTACTGAACATAATGCAAAATGCACTGAATATAACGTCAGAAGCACCGAACATAATTTAAATACCACTACATATAACAATGAAACTACTGAACATAATAACCAAAGCACCGAACATAATGTCAAAACTACTGAACATAATGTCAAAACTACTGAACATAATGTCAAAACTACTGAACATAATATGAAAACTACTGAACCTAATATAAATACTACTGAACATAATGCATAAAGCACCGAACATATTAAACAATCAACATCAGAAGACAGTCATGGCGTTCCATACTTATGGTCCTACATCCTCTCAATACGGTTATTTGTATATTAAACAGTATAATAACTAAACACTTATGGTCCTACATCCTCTCAATACGGTTATTTGTATATTAAACAGTATAATAACTAAACACTTATGGTCCTACATCCTCTCAATACGGTTATTTTGGCATTGCAGATGGTCAAGATTTTCTCAGATCGAGGTGAATTGACCCAAGCCAGAAACATGTAATCCAATGGTTGTCGTTGGTTGCTGTCTGTCATAGTTGTTTATTGTTCATTGTGGTAATATAAATCAGAACATCCGCTTTCTAGGTTGCACTGTCGTACCATCCGCTTTCTAGGTTGTACTGTCAGAACATCTGCTTTCTAAGTTGTACTGTTTTTCACTTTGTCATACCGGGGTCTTTTATAGCTTACACTACGTTTTAGGTTTTATTCATTGCTAAAATTGGTACGGTGACCTGCAATTGTTCATATTTTCGCCCTTTGGTGTTGGTCAATAATTGATAGTTCTCATTGGAAATCGTAACTCATTTCTCTTTTATTATATGGTTTTTAAAAAAATATTTTTGATAAATCTTGTCATTCGCGTTGTGACTTTTTAAACGATTAATTTAGTAGAGCTTTTTTATACGTAGCAACCTCTTTTAGGGAATCATAAAATAAAATAAAAACTTTGGAATATCGTATCAGACTGGGAGATATATACTCAACTTACAAATGCTGCTGAACTGTTTCAACATATACATATATATGGAAAGTTCCATGTAGAAAAATCAAATCATCTCTGTTGTCTTGAAGTGTAATTCTTAAATTACCCCCAAAAGTCATTGTTTAGATGTAAATCATGATATGAAAAAGACGTTACTGTTCATGT